GGGTTGGAGTTGACATATTAGCCTAGCGAAACAGACACGTAGAGTAGATCGTATTTAATAGTTAGATATGTGAGGGATAGGCCGACAGAAGGGCGGCGAAGGGGTCTAATATATCCATCGTGGAGATTTCGTATCGGATCATGTTTTCGGTGTCCTTTATAAGACACATGTCATATTCGGAGGAGTGAAACCACATTTCTGTAATTCCTTTCTCTTCCTTCTGGAGTTTGACCAATCTCACCAGGTATAAGGCGAACTTCGTGCCCGCAATATCAAGATTCGGGACTAAAAGGTGGTTTCTTATGATAATAACCGCCGATATTACTTATCGATAGTGTCTCGGGCATCTACTCGGTCCCGAGTGCGGAATCTTGGACTCGGACTCTCCGAGTACTCTCCGAGGATGAATTATTAATATAGTTAGAAGCTACATCTTAGGTTAGATGCTTTAGTAGTCAGGTAGTCCATAGGTCTAACAGTTACGCTGCTGGTTTCTCGCATGGAATAACATTCAAGCCCTTACGAATTTTCTACTTAATATATTGTAGAATAAGGCCTAGTATCAAAGAGAAACAGAAGCCATTCTATTCATAGCATCCCCTTCTGCTTCGTGGTCAGGTTAGCCAGATATGGCAACCTGCCGTGTCTAATTTGTCGCAATACTGCTAGAAAACAAGTAGAGCAAATATCCACCTGACGGTTCCATGAATCCATGGATCCGTCTTGACCGTTCTGTTGCCACCAGCTTAGATCCCGCTTGGTATGTCGAGACTCCCATAAAAATAATCTCAATTCCCTGGACATCCACCATTAACCTCGTACACCTGTTGTCTTACAAGTTCTAGCAGAGTTTCCAATTAGTTTTGAAGGCATGTGTGCCTTGGTCATAATGCTGGTAGTCAGCCACAGCCCATCGTGGTTCTCTGCAACGATCACCAGTCAAGCTAAATGCTAATATTCCCGATGTGCTGTATGCATAGGAAGTACTCATGCACCGCCTTAGGATAAGCGTCGCCCTGAACCGTAAATACTCTAAGATGACCCCGGCCTCACTTAGCTAGACAGGACAGAAGACGCACGCGTACCAACGCAAAAGAATTACTGGTTATCCGCATCAGGTAAACCACGGGGCGTGGCTCAACTAGGCAGATATTAAGTACTGATGCATGATTCAATTCGTATACCATCTCCGACACGTCCAGTGTAAGAAGTATTCTTGTAAACAGAGAGGCGGGGACTATACTATCATACGAACGGGCGTATACGTTAAGATTGTTCGCATATAACGACGCGACAGCAACAATTCTATGATCGATCGCCTCTATCGTCTTCCTCGGCGTCTCCTTGCATAGAAGCTGTGCTAGGTCCTGAGGAGCCTACGTTGACGAAGATCCTCTGGCCGGCAGTACTGGGACCTGGAGTGCTACTAACAGGAATCCACGCGCCTGTGCCAGCTTGAGTCGCGGGCGCCGTGATAGCGCCTATAGTAACAGCAGCTAAATGCGGCGGCTGCAGACGAGGTAGTTGATGAGAGGCGGCAATTTGTGGTGGAGGCGGTGGCGGCGGAGGGACTAATAAATTGGCTCCGTTTGTAGAGCTATCGTTTCCGCCGAAGCTACCAGGGTCAAGAGCAATCTCGCTACCATCGCCCATATCGTCATCCTCAACACCGTCGATATCATCAAACCCGTCCATATCAGGAGCTGGTACGGGAATAAGTCCTTGCACCTGGCCCTGAGCTGCGTCTTGATTTATCTGGATTGCTCTTCGCGATGGGAATATAGTCTGCTGTTGCAGGTGGTACTCGGCAAACTCAGGCTGAGTGTTTAGGTAGGTTCGGAGACCCGTTACACCTTGACCAGAGAAGACACAGAATACTGCTCGTTGGTGTTCGGTAAAGTCTGGAATATCCGATTAGTATATCGGGGTACGGACGGGATCAGAGGGGGAAAAGCTAATTACCTGGAGGCGCGTCTCGACAAAAAGTATCCAGATCATCCCGCAGGAATGCAGGTACACCAGTCAAGCTCAGGTGGGTAAGTTTCGGGCAGCAATTGAGGAGTTTGATAATGCTCTGTAGTAGTGTTAGCGACCTGCGTGTGAATAGCATTTCTGGAATAAGATGAGCCATACCGGGAGTGTCAGATTTGTGCAGTAGCTAAGGTGAACTCGTTCCAAGCTACCAGTGTGATATTCGTGTCTTCGGGAAGCGTTGTTTCCTGACGCATTGCGTCGAGACTGGGCATGGCGGTTTGCTCCAGCTAATGCGTACATGCTTTCATCCGTGATGCTACTGCACTTCACCAATCCGATTCTCTTCAGTTTCGGGAGTCTTGCCAACTGTACAACGGACTCATCTGTGAGGTGGGTGCAACAACCAAGATCAATATAACGAATGCGGTTGCAGGATTGCACCAGACGCTTAACCGCATCATCGGTAATATGTCTACAGTGGCCAAGATGTACGTAGTGCAGATTCTTGCCGAGACGAGATATGGCATAGACCGCAGAATCGGTAATATTGCTACACTTAGCTAGGACTAGATTTCGTAACCGCGGGGCAACCTCAATGATCTTTTCGACAGCGCGGTCCGTAAGCCGGGTACACGATGTCAGATCGAGGATACGAAGGTGCTCGTAGATCTTGGAGGGTAAGGATAGGAATGCGCCATCGTCGATAATATCGCAATTCGCAAGTCGCAACTCTCGCAGAGATCGTCCTTTGGCAAGTAGGGCGGTAACAGGCTCGTTACCGATACTCACACATTGATGAAGATCGATTTCGAGTATGTTTGGGCAGTTATTAGCGAAGGCAATAATCGCACTATCGTTGAGTTGTTCGCAATCGTTTAACTTGAGCTGTTTACCAGGTAAATATCGGGTATGATTAGCGGCGCCTCAAATAAAGTAGAATCGAAACTAATAAAGGCCATCTGAGAGACGCATTAAGGGGAGTTGACTTACCCGTTTGATATACCTGCAATTCTCGGCAAGTTGAACCATGCTTTCATTGGAGATCTGTTTGCAGTTTGACACGTTCAGACCTTGAAGCCTGCGGCAGTTCTCGGCGATAGCCACGATAGAGCGCTCGGTGATGTTGTTATCGCCCGAAATATCCAAGGCGAGGAGGTTCTTGTTACTCCTCACTAGGGGCATCAGTCCCAGATCGGTCAGGTCTTTGCAATTGGTCAAGGTGAGACGCTCGACGCGGGTGCAGACGGCAAGCGGCATAACACTACCATCACTAACTTTATCTGCCAATGCAGCTAGATTAAGGCGCTTAACGAAGTCTGTATAGGTGAAGAAAGGCTTCTCGAGTCCTAGAGTCGCGCAGATAGACTGATGCTTAGACCAAGAGGTGCAGGTCGGACGATGCCAGAGTATCTCGACCACGTTGCGGGCCCATCTCTTACAGGTTAACATGCAGTTCAAGAGTTCACCCGGGGTGTTGATGCGGGAGAAGATGCTGATGAGGATTTCGCTAGGAAGGGCTGCCACGGTCGGGAGACATTCTGGATCGGCCACTTGCATGTCTTGCAAGTTTGGTACTACTCCTAAAGAAGACTGGGAATCATTTGCTACGTGGAAGAAGTCGGACTCTTCGTTATCTGGGGGGACGGGCGAGTTCGTCGACGATGAAGACCTCGAATCCCTCGTGTCGTCGGACATGTTCATTGTCTGCATGTTTGGGCCCGAAGCTTCATTGGGTGCGGCGGCGGTTGCGGCGGTAGCAGTAGCAGCAGCAGCAGCAGCAGCAGCAGCAGCAGCAGCGGCAGCGGCAGAGTTACGGGCGGCTATTACATCGAGAGAAGGAGCCGGCGGTCGCATCTTGGCAAGTCTGTAGAAGACTGCGTCGCGATTTATTCGGGGAAGGAGTTCGAATTGGTTAGGATCGGTAATCTCTCGAAGAGGCTGGCAAAATGGAGATGGTGGTGATATCAAAGGATTAAACGAGGTGGTGGATCGAGGGGTAGTATTCAGACCATCAGGTTTCGATGTTCGAACCGGAAAGTTGAAAAAAAGGGAATAAATAAACGGGATATCAGAAATAAGCGGCGATCGCTTTCCTGCCCCCTTAGAAATAATTGGATGCAAATCGCTAAAAAAAAAATCAAAGAAGTAAAGGAGGACCTAACGATAGTTGGGATGATGGACGTTGTTTAACAATTTGGTTTAGGTAGTCCTCAGTGGTATTGTTGGGAAGGAAGAATATGGAAATGCATCTTTAAAGTGACAAAGAAGTGTGATGTGTGTACCGCACATGCACGTAGGTACTTTTACGTATGGACAGCAGGGCGGTTACGATCTTGGGCAGTTGCTACTATTTTGGTGTGTAGTGCGATGATGGGCTACAGGCTTTTGCGAATACATGGTACTTTGTAATCCGTACCTCCAATCATACCTAAGGTACGGATTAGGTACACCATCTTGTCCAACATACATATCTATTGTAGGCAGGTGACAACCCTGTCACAACTGCCAGCGTATTTGTTGTAGTTATTGTGGTACAAACATTCTAATCGGCTTGAGCCGGCGCAAACTGGCAGACTGAGAAATGCAAAATGGTATTGCTTTACAACAATGTTTGCAACAATGAATGTTAGCATCGACAATACCTACCTAGGTAATTACCTAGGTAGGTATGCATATATCAATAAAAACAGACTTTTGTTTAATGTTGTTCAGTTGTACCTAAATCTATAGCTTCAATCGTCATTCCTTTAAGCAACTCAGTGGATAAAGTACCTAGGTAAAACCTAGTTAGTTTATTTTAAGTTCACTTCCTTCACCTAGGTAGGTATCCAGTATATCGGCATTGGTTTATCCCGTTACCGTCCTGCGGCTTAAGATATACAGGTTGTACTGGCTTATACCCGATTGACGTCACAGCAGATTCAAGGGTTCACGGGCTGACAGTGTGTTGATTGATATACATAGACTCTCATAGTTACACTCATTATAATTGTTCCATATCCCTTGTTTTAGGTACATGCTACAATGAAAGCTACTAGGTAGCCTCTCAGAATAACCAGCTCTTCCTTTGTCTCCGTACAGTATCGTTATGATTACTCCATACGGTATTATATGACTAATTTGACTCGAGTTTTCAAGGGGCGGAGGCCGGGCAGAGGAGCTTTGCTACCTAGGTACCCTGCAAAGAATCATTTATGCTACCATGTTAGGTACCTAGGTATCTGTCAATTAAGCTTATCGGGGCATTCGTAGGCTACCTCTTCGTACATAGATTTATTTATGTAGTTACAATAGTAGGATCCTACCTTATAAAGTCGTTAACTATCTAGGTTAGGAGGTAGGCTTTGGAAACTTTTGAACGTTTCGCGTTTCGTAACAGCTTCGTTATATACTACTATTATACTACTATTATATACTACCTAGGAGCTAGCTTTTACGTATATATTGTTATTGTTATTGTTATTGTCACTATTATTGCACTTACAACAAACGCAGAATCCACCATTTTAATGTTCGTCTCTTTGGATCTGTAAACATCTTCAATAAACTACACCATGACAGGCACAATCATCATCACCGGAGCAAACGGCTCTCTTGCAATCCCTGCTGTGAATCATCTTTTAACCAAGTATCCGGACTACGCGGCGGTTCTGACCGTTCGTAAGACGGAGGATACAGATCCCAACACCAAGAAGCTGCGCGAGATCATTGCTAAGTTTCCCAAGGCTCAAACATCCATCCGCCAACTCGACCTGGCCAATCTCACCGCTGTACACGAATTTGCAAGCACGATTGCTACCGAGATTGCAGAAAAGAAGCTGCCACCGCTTGCTAGTATTGTCTGCAATGCGTATTACTGGAATTTGTCTAGCGATCCCGAATTCACGGCAGAAGGAGTCGAGAAGGCGATCCAAGTGAACCACATTTCCCACGTTGCTCTGGTCCTTCGACTACTGGGTAGCTTCAGACCCGAAGGTGGCCGTATTGTACTCTTCACTAGCAACGCCCATTTCCCCGGCAAAAATGGCTTGGAGAAATACCCGCCGGCTATCCCGGACGATTTAGATTCCTTATTGAAGGCTAAGTCGGATGCCGACAAGCTAGGACGAGGCATGAATATATACGGAAATTCAAAGTTGGCCATTCTCATGTGGGGATACGCGTTGAACAGGCATCTCGAGAAGGTATGTTTAGATTTACTTGCCCATTATTCATTATCCCGTCAAGTTATGAAAAGTAGGAAATTGACCTATTTCCCAGGATGAGAAGCTGCGCAACATCACAGCAATAATAATTGATCCCGGCAATCTGACTGATTCGCGTGCTCTACGCACGAACACACCTCTGTTCCTCCGCATTGTTCAAAGATTTGTGCTTCAGCCTTTGCGGCCACTCGTTAGTCTCGCAGACCCAAGTTACCGCACAGCAGCAAATGCAGGTATAGATGTGATAGATCTTGCTACAAACAATGTCTACCCAGGAGAGCGCGGTTATCTCCTTACGTTAAAGAAAGAGCCCAGCTCCCCTGATAGTTATAATGAGGATAAGCAGGAGAAGCTATGGGTTAAGAGCGCCGAGTGGGCAAAGGTTACCAAGGAGAACACCGCTATTGCGAGCAGTCTTTGAATGAGTGGGGGACGGGCTTTCGCGGCATGTTGAAGCCTAAGCTTTTTCAAGAGCGCAGAAAAATGAAGTTATTGCCGAGTAGTATTTTAAATTCCCCAAATTGAGAAAGGTTTTATTTATGAGGAAATTTCCAAGATTTCACATGTACAGCGAAGTAAGAAGCGTTCCTCTATTCAGTCTTGGCTCGATCGGCAAACCGCCTTTGAAAGATAGACATATCCATCTTGTAGCACGCCGATTGCCAATCTGTTGTCCACTTTCGATAGAACGGCTGATATCCCAGAATACCTCCTAGCCATCTACCTACTACAACACCCAAAGCATACGCCAACGTTTTGCTGAACGGTATCCAGCGTGGGAGTGAAAGGTAAGAACCACCTGCATCAAACATCTACCGACATGTCAACGATAAGTCTAGAGAGTTTAGGGTTAAGGAAACAACCCACACTCATAACCTGAATCAAGTCGACCTTCTCGCCTTTAACAACAATTTGGTCTTGGTATGCATACCAATTCTCGAAGAAGACAGTATCAAGCTTGAATAGCTCAAGGGTACTCTCAGCTGAAAGTAAGAATCTCGTCACCTTTAAGTTCTCGCCTGTATCCTTTGTATCCGGCGAGTACAGCCTATGGTTTGTCCACGGAGGAAAGGTAACCTCCCCATCTTCGGGGACAAGAATACGTTCCTTGCCCTCAACTTCTACGGCTAGACTTCCTTCGAGCACCTGGAGATATTCTTCTTGATGTGGGTGGAAATGCAGCGGTGGCTTCTGTGATGCGACTGCGACGACCCGTGGATGCTGGAGAAGAAAGGTCACGTCGTAGGCGAAGGCTCGGTTAGGATGAGAAGGATGATTTATCACACGTGTAGTGATTCCGCCTTCGAAACTATATGGGCCGAATATTAATCGTTGCTTTTAGCAAGGTTCTCACTGCTATATTGCGTAAAGAACTCCCAAGAGACTGTCAAGCCATTTTCGTAGAGCAGAGCAGGCAACTTACGCTATAATTACGCGTCCTAAATAGGGATCACCGGTCATACTTCACGGAACACGACTTTCGTGTTACTTAACCCACCCCTTATCACATGTGGTCGATTTATATATAGTTGAAGCTGAATGATATATATAGGTAGTAATAGCTTTTTAGCACCTTGAAACTTCTGTAGACTCGAATTGGATACGAACAGAAGAGTGTCTTCTAGTTTTATCACCCGAGACCCAAGCCATTCTCCATAAAACCCACTACAAGGATGTGCTCAGTCCGAACTTAGCATATGTAGGACAGGTATTTACTCTATATGTACTTCTGTCCTATTGAAACAACTCGATTCGTTGTAATTCATAGATGTTAATGTATGACTTGAGTCCTTACATCTCGGGTGATAACGAATCGATTTTGTTTGTAGTACAAGAGTATTGGAATAGCCTTGCCATCGTCCTTGTCACCCTTCGATTGTCTTGTCTACCTACCTAGGTACCTACCTACCAGGTAGGTTAGATAGTTTATCCATCGCAACCATTTCTATGTACTGTGTACCATAGCAGCGCATGGATCATCTCCGCTCCATCACCTAAGCTTATTATTGTTTATGCTTTAGGAATTTATGGGTACGTATTAGGGCCTTCACATACCTTGAAGTGCCGGCGACTACTCTTAGATAGGTTCGTTAACATCGGCATTGCAACTCAAGCGTCCGAGTTCCAAGTTAGCGGAAGGTAATGCGATCTAATTTATGAAAGATCTAAACTGTGTTACATTTTTCGTCTTTCTAGTTCTGCTTGACTGACGCCATCTGGTCTTTCAGCTAGGTATCCCCTGTCCTTGGCGTCTCAACGGTAAAATCTACTGACAGACAACCTGCATACGTATAACAACCGTGTGATTTGGTAAAGTTGTGGCATAGCTAATTCAAACCTAACCTTAGTCCGGATAGGGGTATATTATCGACTTCGTATAAATACTTCATCCCAAAAGTTTAGAGATTTGCTAATCATGGGGTACTTGATGCAGGTAATCCACTTTCTACTAGGGCCGGCATATATTTCCTTGTTCCGCTGGGGACTGGCCTCCAACGGCTGGGCTACTATGGCGCTCGGAACCGATTTTGCACAATGATATTCGAGACGATCAGCATATGCTTGGGTGAGTGCTTACACTAGTTGCGTCTGGCATGTCCAAGAGTTATGTACTAAGAAGCTAGGTTAGGTTCACGTAGTATCCAAGTAGCACCTAAGCCAATATTATACATATGATACAAGGGCATCCTATGTATTGATAATAGTATGTCTAAAGCACTATTCGAGCTGGCTCTTCTACCACCAACCAAGAAAGGTCCTACGATTTAGGTAACTTGAACCCCCCTGGTGCTAAAGTTTGGAATACTCCATCAGGATCGTATTTTCTCGCCGTCTCATTTAGCTTTGCAACATTCTCCTGTCCGTAGTGCTCAATAACAGGTTGGTCCGCAGCTGCGTCGTTCATGAAAATATAGTCAACGTAGTGCCCGCTAGCCTTAGATGCGTTCTCGATCTTGTTGATCATACTCTGCGTGTAATTGTGCGCCAGCTCGTCGTCGTCGGGAGACCACCAGCCCACGTCAAGAACAAGCCAAGTCTGGTTAACGGGTTTTAGTCCAAGCGCGTTACCACCACTTACTTGTCCAGCGAGTACGGCACTGCTGGAAATTGGTTGCCAGCCGAATGCTAGAGACCCTGCAGTTAGGTTCTTCAGGCTGTCTAACTCTGGAGCCTTAGTCACAATATTTCCCACTTTGTTGAATAGTTCCTTGTCGGTGGCGAAGCTTGCACTGAACCAATTCACCCTATATGAACAGATTAGCATGCCGGGAGGTTAGAGCCCTGAATTATTGCGTGGCTTACCGTGTCAATTCCGGAAGAGGTGCTGCGAGCATTAGTTCGGTTAGTGTTTGGAGCTTGGTCAAATCGGCTATAGGCGTGATATTTCGGAAAGGCGCGAATGCTTCTGGCTCCTCTTCTGGCTTTAAGTATACGATATTTAATATGGCACCAATGGTTGCGTTGGTCGGGAAAGCTTGCAACATGATGTTCGCGTAGGGGTCCTTATTTTCAGCCGACTGATATTGGTACATGGCATCAAACAATGCCGGCAAAGCGTCTAAGGAATATACTCTGACACCACCCCAAACATTGTGAATGTCGTAAGTTTTCAATGTGAATTTAGTGACGATGCCTATCATATGTAAGTCAACTAAGTCTCTAGCACAGTAGAAGTGTATCAAATGTTACCAAAGTTGTTGATGCCCCCCTTCAGAGCCCAGAATAAATCTGGGTTCGATTCTGCGTTCGCATTTATAACGGCTCCAGTTGAAGTCACAACCTAGGTATATATCAATACTGGTCAACACTATTATAACATTCCTGGAGAAAGATAAGGCAGTGCTTACCTCATAATTAACCACGTTGTCGCATACTAAGCCGTATAGGTCGGTTAGGTACGAAAGACCGCCTATGCCATACCTATCAATAACCTGCCTATGGCAACGAAAGTGGAAGGGAGCAAGACTTACCTCCAAGAGTTAGACCGCCGACGCCGACGTCCAAGACTCTACCACCAGCAACTGTTACGTTATACTGGTCCAGTGAGGTATAAACTTCTTTCCACCGCAATCCTGAGCCTACGACAGCGACTTTCTTATCCGCATCGTAATCAACTGAGTTGAAGTTCACTAGGTCAATCAGGACACCACGGTTGATATTTGCAGCTCCGGGTACGACTGAGTGACCACCGGAACGAATGGCAAAATTCACTTTCCAGTCGACCACAGTCGAGACGACATAGGAGAGCTCCTCGGCATTAGATGGCTGGATAATGCATGATGGCTTCGCCCAGACAGTCTGCGACCTATGATGAGATGAGTCAAATTAGCCTTCTCAACTTGAAGAAGATTAAACTATACCAGTTCTCTGTGCTTAAAGCCTCATATGTATCTGTAGTCGGCTGGACTGTCTCGTTGTTTAGCTGGGTTTTGATGTGGTCGCATACGGCGTAGTCTTGCGAGCCTTCTACTACGGAGCAGAAGAAAAGTAGGAAGCCGGCAAGAGCCCGGGACACGGTAGGACAGACCATAATTCTTATTCTTGCCTATAACTAAGAAGTCGAGGTCGCTCGCTCTCGCTATTCATGCCGGCGTCTATGGAATAGTTTAAATACCAAGTATAAGAAGTAGTCCACTGCGGATCTAACCCCCCGGAAGATCCCAGTATTACTTATTGAAGCATATGAAGATTATGTGACCTTGTCCAGCCCTAAGTTCAATACTACTATGTAGATGATCAGAGCATGCTATCGAGGTCCGAAAAAGGTTAAGGGGTCTACGTACCTACCGTGTCTCTGATCGCAAACTACAGTACGTAGCATTATTAAATACAAGGTAATTTAAATTAATAGCCCCTTCCATCATCAGCGATTTTGTATTGAATTTCTATTGATAGTGTTGACATGGATATGGATTACGAAACAGACGATACTCCCTCCCAAAAATCAGCACAGAAACCCTGCCTATAGGCATCTTCCGTTCTCCAGCCTCTGTCCTCGATTTGACTTCACCCCTGAAGACCAAATTCCCAGTTCAATCGTTACTGCCTTAGCGTACCCAACGACATATGGATGTAGACAGTGCATGATTATGTGTTTGACACTGTTCCAAGACATGATCTAGGACTAGTGGAGACGTGATAATTAGTAGCTAGGTAGGTATTCCAAAAATTATATCGGTGAATTCGACCGAAGGTTTCTATCCTTAGTTGATACCTAAGGTTAAGCTATGATAGTGTATCTAATAGATAGGTACCTAGGTAACTACACCTAGTTAGTCCTAACCGCAACTTATGGTCACATAGGTAAACTAATCAAGACCGGAATTATTTTACTAGGACAAGTTCTAATCTGGTCTGGGATTGGTAGAAATACTATGGTAAATCCGTAATGAACATCTCCTTGGGTCTGCCTTTAAATACTGGAGATTATGTGGACGAGCAAGGATTGGCGGCTCTTAGTTCTCATTCAGGACGGTAGGTAGAACCGACTGATTCGACACGGACTTCAGAGATTACGAATGCATCACACAACGCTCGAAAGCTATCGGCTCAATGAGAAGCCGAGTCTTCTTAAAAGATCATCTAGGTTAGGAAATATCTACTAACCTACCTAAGTCTATCATTTCCTTCCCTGAGAGGTTCCCCATGCTCTTCAGTGGACATGAATTATACATACCTTTTTTTCCACTTGATAGTGCTTGGTCACCCCTATTGGTATCGTTCAGCCCTATAAGAAATGTTTAAAGCTTCATACCTTCCGGTGGCGTAGGCAGGCACGGATGACGGGAGCTTCCTTGCGTGGGGTGAAGGATAGTTGTCGTCCGTGGGATGGGAAGTCCTTGCCACCCTTGACGTTGCTAACTATGCTAACTATTCTAACTAACTAGCGTCTCATACTATCAGGCCTGCCTACTATCCTACTAGGAGTAGTCGCGGGAAGAACGGAATGCAAGTAATTTAATTAGCTCTTCGAACCCGTCCGGGAAAAAAAAGAAAGAAAAAAAAAGAAAGAAAAAAAAAGACAAGAAAGGAGAAGAAATCGGTTTCTTATTCATAACTACAACGTACTTTCAAACCCTTCCATTAGCTCTCTCTATCATGAGCGGTAAGACGAGTAACGAAAAACCACATTCGGCCAACGAGACGGCCGAGTTCCAAAATAATGCACTCGCGCAGCAGTATGGTGGTGGGCATGTCGGCGGCTGGGTTGGTCGTTTACCCTCATCGTGGGTTCCTTACGTCCAGCTGGCACGATTGAGTCCTCCCGCCGCCCTGTTCCTCATATACTTCCCGCACTTTTTTGGCATTATACTTGCCGCCATTATCCAGAGATCGCCTATCTCCCAGGTGCTCCAAGCCAGCTCAGTCATGCTTGGCGGTAGCTTCTTTTTCTCGAACGCGGCCCATGGCTGGAACGACCTCATCGATGCGCCCGTCGACAAGTCAATACCTCGTACGAGAAAGCGTCCTATCCCTCGAGGTGCTATCACACCTTGCGCCGCTTTCGTTTTTACTGCGACACAGGCCATCGGCGCTGCCTCGTTTCTACTCTTAATGCCACCCGGAAGCGTGATCTACGCCATCCCAAATATTGTCGGTACGTTCTACTACCCCTGGGCCAAACGGCACACCAACTTCGCGCAATTGGTGCTCGGCTTTTGTTTGGCCTGGGGTATCATAATGGGGTCATGCGCAATGGGTCTCGAGCCATTTATTGGAGGACCTTTTGGGAGCGGAAACGGATGGGCGCGGTTCTTCTGGATCGAACCGTCAACCACGTGCCTCTTTCTCGCAAGCATCCTGTGGACGGTTATTTATGATTCGATCTATGCGCATCAAGATGTCAAGGATGACATCAGGGTGGGTTTGAAGAGCATTGCTGTTCTGCTTAAGGATTGGACGAAACCGTTGCTATGGCTGCTCCTTAGCTGTATGATCGCACTGTTATATACGTGCGGAAGTCTTCTAAGCATGGGGCTCGCGTTCCACGTAATCGCCGGTGGCGGCTCCTTGCTTTCTTTAGGTGCTATGATTGCTAACGTTGAGTTGAAGGATTCAGCAAGCTGTTGGTGGTGGTTCAGATATGG